TTGCTTGGCACTACAGTATACCAGGGGTCATTTCGTAGAAAAAGAGCTAGGGGGACTCATTAGCATAACTCGTTAGCATATGCCACACCCCCTGACATCACCGGAAGTGTGTCCTCCCCACAGCCGGCGGCGACCTCCAGCGGGCACCAGCAGGGAGCTCCAGGCCCCGCCCTCCCGCACCTCACCCGGGGGGATGGCGTCCCCCCGCGTCCCCCCCAAATGACCCCTGCAGTATACCCTCCTCAGACCCAGCCTGCCTATCCCGTCCCCAGCTTGCCCACGCTCCCGTCCTTGAAACTACTGAGTTCAGAACTCTGCCTCTCACTCTTGTGTCATATGACTTGAATGCCATATGATGTTGCACGCTTGCAGCTTAGTGGGTCATTGAAGACCACTGGTTGATTTGACAGAGGGCTCATCCTTTTTTTCCTTACCACAATTAAAACTTTCAGAGTAATGACCAGCCTCTCTGGTTTTATGAATCGCTTGCTCCCACTGATCTCTGTTTTATCACTCCTCTTATTAAAACAGTGTTTAGAGAATGGTTATTTTGATGTAATGTATCATCAGTTGATACTGCTGGATAAGATCATCCCTCTTTGGCTTTTTTTTTTTAAAGTTCTTAACCCATAGCTTAACTGATTAACAAGGAAAGCCATCCCATGAAAGGCTGTTCTTCTGATCTATAGATACCAAGAATGAATTAGTGAATTAGGCTCTTCCAACACTGGGTCCCTAGGAGTCTGATGGTACCCGTCTCCAAACCAATGAATGATCTTCCACAGGGAGCTAATTATAGACATTAAACAATACCATGGACAAAGTATGATCCTGCAGAATAATTCCCAAGCACACAAGACCAGTCAGACTACACTGTGCTGTGGAACTGCCCCGTCCAGAAGAAAGGAGGTATTTGTGAATTTCCTGAATTGTGCAGGGGTAGGACTAGATGATCCTGGAGATCCCTTCCAACTCTATGATTCTATGAAAACAGAACCAGGGGAAAACAGTCCCCCCACAACATCTCTTGAGATGATCCAGAAGGAGACTCAACAAACCCTCAAACTCTGCCGGGAGTCCCAGGTAATCAAAGGTCACACTTCTTCTGCTCACTTCTAGGTGCATATGGTTGACCAGGAACACCAAACCAAGCCATGGTCCAGAATGCTTGGAACACATTCAGCACCACCAGACACTTTGACTGTCTTACAAATGGTTAAAGGAGTTAAACTTTCTACCCACCATCTCCTTGGTACAGAAGCTTGGGCTATCCAGCCCTCCCCTCCATCTGTTCCAGTGACTCTACAGAAGCACAGCCCTTTCCACTGATCAGCCCAGCTTATGGCTGGGGCATCATTCAGTGTGACGGCATAAATAACCATTGTATTTTGTTGGTGGAGTCAAGATCCACCTCTTCCAGGTCTCTGCCTTACATTCTCAGTTACGTACATATAAAACAACTGCTGATCACACATGTTGGTACAGAAAAGAGGATCTTCTCCACCTGGGACTTTAGTCCCACTGCAATAAAGATGTGCGTTCCTTTAAAAATCCACAAAAGTCCTTGATTTTGAACCCTACTGTTCTGGAGTGCCCCATTGTTTTTCTTTAATATGTTTTGATGGTTACACAGTTGGAAGGAACACCATTCTGATTTGTTCCTTCAGGTGGTGCTTTAGTAGAATGTCCTTAATATTTCTTGCAAAAGTAGTGTGGATACTAATAAATCATGGTGACCTCACAATACTAAGAGAATACCAATTGAGCAGCTGACCTCTGCTGCCACTAAAATTTCATTTGACCTGATATTTAAATACCTCCTAATTGTCCCAAACCCAACGGGTCATAAACTTTTAAATGGATATCTTTCACTTCCCATGTCCATTGTCTGCATTTCCTTACTGCCAACCTGTATAATTATTAACCCATAAGTGGGTTTTCTGGCACAAAGTACAATTGGCCTTCGGAACCCTTTCAAATGGACATTGTGAAGGCCGGCCAATTGTCCAGCCTTAAACTCGCATACAGATATTGTATGGGCTAATCCAGCAGAATTGCAAAACTTACTGAGGCCACACAAAGACCATGGACTGCAAGGGATAACAGCTATAAAGTGTTCACCTTCATTTGCACTGGGAACAGAAAAGGGATGTAAATAAGTATGGAATCCTGGAAGTGTCCTTGTAACATGGTGTGTGGGTGCAAAAGACTGCATGTGTTTCAAGGCAGTAAGATAATTTTTATTAATGACAATATATTCTTTCTCTGCTGGTAGGGAAACCACACCACTTAGCTGTGGGGACCATCAGAGTTCAGTTGTTCCTCTGCCACCTTTCCCCACTCCTCAGCTCTGAAGAGGAGATTCTCACAGCAGTGGGAGGCATGCATTCAACACCAAATGGGGATCAGCTTGATGGATGGAGATGGAAAGAAATTTCACAATCACCAGCATGTATCAATGAGGGGATGTCTCTCCCAGTAGCACGTGACTTGGATTGCTTACCCGAGCCATCTACATTTCTTTGCTCAGCTAAATCCTTTCTACAGCATACCTCCTCTTTCCTCTCTCTATCACTCTGCACCAGAGGCCTGGTTTGTTTTTGTTGCTTTATGGCTGACTGTCCCATTCACAGCTCAAGCATTACACAGGGACCCTGGACCCAACCTGTGCACTCCGCAATGCGTGAATCCACCTTTCACAGTGACAATCTTGCTTTTGATGATCAGGCAAAATCCTAGGGTATATACATTTATTTACCTCTGTCAGGTAAGATCATCATAAGACCCGTTTTAGATAGTGGGAACTGAATGGAAGTGATTTGCCCAAAGCAACCTCCTGAGTCCATAAGCAAGGATCTGAATCCAGGGACAGCATGTTAACCATCAGGCACCATGTTGTTATGACATTCATGGTTTACAGAAATTAGCATGAGATCTCCATCCAGCATAGACTGTGAACAAGGAGGAAATGTGCCAGATGAGATTACAAGAGATAGCTCAGGTGCAATGCTCCCTCTAAGCTGTGGAGTCTTGTATGCAAAAATTCTACTTTGTGAGCTACCAGCATTTAGGTTGTGAGCGAGCGATTTGGCTACTGCATAAATTAGTTTGGAGCCATCCTTCCTGAGCTAAGACAATAATGTGTGAGCCAGAGGCTAAAAAACTGTGAGCTAGCTCACACTAACTCAACTTAGAGGGAACAGAACACTGCTCAGGTGTTTCTCCATCTTTTCCATCCTTCCCATATTGTCAAATAAAATCATCTAATATCTGAAGCAGCCTTATGCTGAGCGGGTTCATATAGACCAGTATTGTCCACACTGACTGAAGACAGGGTCTCAGGCACATGAACACATGAAGCTGCCTTATACTGAATCAGACCATTGGTCCATCAAGGTCAGTATTGTCTATTCAAACTGGCAGCGGCTCTACAGGATTTCTAGTAGAGGTCTTTCACATCCCCTACTACCTTACCCCCCCCCCCTGGAGATGCCGGGGATTGAATCTGGGACCTTGCACATGCCAAGGAACTGCTCTACCACTGAACCATGGCCCCCGTCAACAGCAGTTCCTCTCCCATTCCCTGCTACCTGAGCTTTAAAATGGGAAATGTTCCTGGGATCTTCTGCAAACAAAGCACATGATCAATCAGTGAGCTGTGGGTCCTTCCCAAAAGAAGAGGCCACCAACCGTGCAACCCTAAGAAGAGCTACACTCTTCTAAGTCTACTGTAGTCTATTTTCCAAGGCCAAGTTAAATCTTTGTAAGAAACCGCAACAGATTACATCCACTTTCTCCTGTTCTTGGTGAGTTGCAGTCTTAGCCCTCCTGCCCCTAGATCCCAATGTTGACCCATAGTGCCATGTAGTAAGAAATAAACTCCATGATTAACACACACCCCATTTGAAGATTTTAGTTGTTGCAAGTGAGTTACTATTTCAGGCCAACCAACATGGCTGCTGCAGGCAATTTGCAACTTGAAAACAGTTCCAAACTGAAATTGGTAGAAAGAAAGAAAGAAAGTGGCATTGATTGGGCTTTGTGTTTCTCGGCTGGAGAACAATTAACTCAAGTCATGTGAGGACCCTGCGAGGTGAGTCACAGGTTGCAAAGCAAGATGGCACACGTAGACAACCCAGCAGCTGCGCTTGATCACAATAAATTGAACTCCACAAGAGATGATGAGTGGCATTGGATTACCTGACTGGCTCTTGCTCTTACGGCCTGTGGGAAGCTCACCAGAGCAACTTTCTCTTGCTCATCTCCACAATGAAAGACCCCATGACTGAAGTTAATGTCTCATGGAAACACAGAATTGAAAGATGCCTGGCCATCAATTTTGGGAAATGGCTCTTGGGGTAAACATGAAGCTGTCTTCTACTGAGTCAGACCCTTGGCCTATCAAAGCCAGGGATTGTCTACTCTGACCGGCAGCAGCTCTCGAGGGTCTGAGGCAGAGGCATTTCACATCACCTACTATCTGACCATTCTAAATGGAGATGCCAGGAACTGAATGTGGGACCTTCTGCATGCAAAGCAGACGCTCTGCCACTGAGCCATGACCCCACAACATATATGTCTACGGGACAGGGAAAAATCAATAAGATTTAAAGTGAGAATTTGGGCACAGTTTTTACATCTTAAAAAAACAACAGAGAAAAGTGATTTTTGAATATGACAGGCATGGAGGGGGACCCCAAATAAATAGTCTAACAGAGAATACCTGTTATTCAGTGCCTTTACACTTCACTCACAGAGAGGAATGTGAACAGTCACCTTGGGAGCCCCTGTGCCGATTGATGCTCACTCAGCAGTCACAAGAGTAATAATTTAAAGAGGCAACACATATATTTTAAAGACTCTCAGAAACAATCCTGCCAAACAGCCCAGGCAGGCAGCTGCCGGCGAAAGAAAAGCCTTCGACATTTAGTTACCCATGTGCCCTGAAAGACTGTTGCGATCTGGAAGCCAACCCCGGGAGAGAATAAAGCACCTCTTACCTGCAGAAGCTTCCCTTCTGCTGGGGTCACGTCCGCCACGCTGGCGAAGACTCCTTCCAGCATGAGGGGCTCCAGCTTGAAAGGGACCACCCGAATTATTGCCTTCTGGGCCAGCGATCGGTCGGCTTCCACGGCGGCCGCCAGGGCCAGTCCAGAGTAGCCCAGTCGTACCTGCAGCGTAGCCATAAGCAGCCAAGGCCAGAGGACTGCCAACTGTAGCTGGGGGCCAACACTCATGCTCCCAGCTGCAGCAGTGCGCTCCGGCCACACATACTGCTCAGGAATGCGTCCTCACCCCGACAGCAGGTTCCAACACAAGTCAAAAGGGCTGAAGATTAAAGCCCTCCTTGGGCCGATGAGAAGCAGGGCAGAGTCACCTGGATTGCCTTCCTCCAGGTTCTCCTCGCTTCCTCTCGCTGTTTGTTTGCGCCACGTGCAAACCTCAAGAATCAGAAGCCACACCAGATTAGGTCCTTCTCCTCCTCCAGATGAATTCAGACATTGTTAGTGGAACGAAGGGGGCACGGACAGCATATGGGCCTAAAAGCTTTTCAGTCCTTCTGGGAAGAGCGCCAGAGCTGTTCAGAGGGAGACAGTTCCCCATGGAAGACAAACTCTGTTTTCCCCAATCCACTCCAGTGTTTGTATCCTAGCAGGGTCTGTCCCCGGATATCAGGCGGCCTTTCTGATGTCCGATCAGTGAGCTGTTGTTCCCATTTATCCCTCAAAGCAGGAGTTTTTTTGGGTAATGCGAACTAATTTCTTTCTTTCCTCTATTGAATCCACATACCAAAATCCATGGCGAGTGAGAAGAGAGTCCCATTCAGTAATTATCACAACCAACCAGTTTTTAGTTTTTTAAAAAATCAGACAATAGTCTTCGGATTAAAAACAAAATTCTGCCCACCTCAAATGCCAATATTACACTCACCTGGTTGCAGACGTGAAAATATATTTTCTAGCCTGGAATTTTCCATCCATGTGTCATTTTAATACAACTCGTAACTCCCAAAATTCATTAAACTAACAAGACGTTCTTTTTAAAAAAATTTCTCTGAAGTTAAAAAGACCCAAACAGGAAAAACAACTACAGATGTACACCTGTGTGTGTCATTCCATTCCTGGGCAAAACAATGGAACTCATATCTCTGTTTTTAGAGGCACATTACTAAAAATGTAAATGAAGGGTATCCCAATCATCAAACATAAAATATGTTTCACGAAGGATTTCCGTAACCATAGAAAAATCACCACCAGTTATCGGCTGAAGGGGTTGTTCGATCAAGGAAGAAAAAAGATAATTTTCAAAGCTACAGTTGATAGATTGACCGCAAGAAGCCGCAGGGGCTAGGTTAACAGCTGGACATTTCCCTGCAAAGGCTAACTAAAAAACTTGTTCAGTAATCAATCAAAATATGGGCTGAGTCTTACCTATGGGTTACTGGGGGAAGGGGAGAGACTCACAGAAACCCCCTGTACAGGTAAATGTGAAATCCCACAGTCTAAATCGGGGGAAATGTACTCCAGACTGAAAGCTTGTGGGCCAGGCGTGGCTGAAATGTAGTTTCCCCAAGCAACCTAGAAAGGCTTGCTAGGAATCCAGGAGCTTAGCTGAGGGCTCCTTTCGAGTTGAAGCAGAACGCTCTCCCTTTTTCCCAGCAAAGACAAGCGGCAAGCCATCTAAACAGGCAGTGGGAGAGAAGTTGTTTGAAAACCGCAGATCTCCAGCAGCGGCAGCAGCAGCAAACTCAGAAGCAAGCCTTGGAAGCCTGCTTCAACAGGGAATGTAACCGTCCTTCAGTGACCAGGGTGCTGAAGTGGCCTTGGAAGGTTCTGCAGATGCCGTGGAAGAGCTTTCTTTCCAGAAAGGAAGCCAAAAAAATAAAACAAACACGCTCTCTAAAACCTGGGAGTAGTGGACGCTTGTGCTCTCTGCCTCCCTCCCCTGGGACTGCAAGCTCTTTCTACCTGCTGACAAAAGTGAGGGTGGAGCTGCCCAAGGCAACCACCCCACCCCCTCAGTCTGGTTCTCAGAGCTCCTAGTCTCCCTCTCCTGAGCCACGGCTAAACTGCATTTAAGCACAGCCCTCACTTAACTTCTTCTGTCTCAGATGCAAATCAGGATCCCGCATGGATCCTGAAAAACAATGGGGCAGAACGCAGTGAGGGATGGAAATGAAAAGCTACAGAGAGCTGAAGGGGGGAAAAAAGGAAACCAAAGATCGCAATCTTGGCCTTTGTCCCAGGCTGGCGGTGGCACTTTAAGTGGCACTGAGCCAGTGTCTAAAAGTAACTTCCCCGCTGGAGCAGCGACTGATTCACTGCTGTGTTATGTCTTGGGCTGTGGGAAGGACAATGCGCCTCCATGGCTTGACTTCAACTCTTGCTCCTTTAGTTTTAGGAGGGCCCCCCCCCCCAGTCATTTCAAGAAAGATTTCAGGTCAGGCTGATGTCAGAGACCTGGAATTCAGCTATCAATCCTCATCTGACATCACTTAGGTGAGTAACGCTCTCAGGTCAGACTTCAGAGAGCAAGACTGCAAACTGAAGTCGCAACTTGGCATGTGGTGGATCGATAATATATGTAGCCCATGCCTTATGCGTGTTTGGAAGTAAACCCCACTCATTTCGATGGGTTTACTCCCAAGTAAGTGTGCTCATGACTGCACCTCAGAGCCTTAAACAGTGCGTTCTGTGATGTACAGAAGCTCTATGACAACATCCCAATATTCCAGTATAATTCAGGTTTTTGGAGGATTGCTTCATCTAGGATAACAGAAGGAACTTGCCATCAAAAACTTGCTAAGTGCCAAACATTCAGCCATCTCCCTTGCACCATGTCAGCGTGTCAGTTACAGATTTGTTAGCTATAAAGGCTCTTTCATTATACCCACTGTAACAGAAACTTAGTGCATCTTATAAGACATTTTAACACATTTTCTATGTCACTTAACACCTTCTTTGCCGGAGGAGGAAATATCAAACAACACACAACATTCACCATTTCACTTCAGCAGAACCGCACTCTGTGTAAATGAAACGGGTCCCTCTAGCCTTGGGATTAATAAATGAGACAAACAATGTGCTTGGATGGAGCAGTCTCTTTATTGTGTACTGACTACCTACATACATTTGGGCTAAAACGGCAGAAACACTAAGAAGGTGCATCCATTTCATGCAATACTGTACAGATTCCTTTAGTCAGTGTGAATGTCTGGTGAATGTCCTTTCCTTTTTAACTGTGGCTCTAAATGCTCAAGAGTCAGTAAAGTCAAGCCACTACGGCAGGAGATCCAGCTCCTTGGCCTCTTATTTTATGGAAAGCCAATATATGCTGCCATTTCCTAATGAAGCTTTAAAACTGCAGTCCTAGTCCCAAAACTCTTGCTTATCATTCAGAAAGGACTAAACTAGTATAACCCTGTGCAAGTATGACCAAGGCGAAACTTCTCTATGTTTCAATTCATGTGGATAATTCTCAGTCACAGGTTCAAACTTTTCACAAATCTATTTTGAGGCAGGACAGCACTCAATCTGAGCCTTTCAGAGACCCAGCAAAAGAACATTGTCTCTAAATGTGGCAACATATTTTACATTGAGAGCATGCTGAATGTCTGCCTTTTCTAGAGGGACAAACAAAGCCTCAGAAGATTGACTGAGGATGATCTTAAAATATTTAGCAATCTCTGGTCCAGCTCTCCTGCATGAAACTATGGCCCAATTTGCAGCTGTGACTTTGGTTCATCCTACCATTCATGGGTGTACTGGGAAATGATGAATGTAACTGAACTATAAGATGCAGAAAGATGACAGGGATAACAGATCTGACCATTCTCTCCACTTTTCCAAGTGTTCCCTTACCCATTTTTCCCCACAGTTGTGGTAATCTGACTCTGAAAAGACGAGTGAGCAAGTTGGAAGCACATTCTCATTAAGCTACATCATTCACACATATCCTTGCCATACAAATAAGTATGAGTACAAAACTATTGTTCTTTAAAATCTATTGTCAATAAATACAGTTATAACAAACAAGTTAAAAGAGCCCATGAAAACGTATTTAAGCTAAGAGAGTAAACAAGAAATGCCTTAATTTCTTATAAAGCATCTCTAGAGTAAGGAAATTATTAAAACACAAGAATGCTCCATTAACATAAAATATCCAGCACCGGTTTTCTTAGATGGGACAATATTTATCATTGGGGGGGGGGGGAGAATAAATACAAGAAAGAAGCAATTTTTCTGTGTAAACATCTAGAAAATGAGCTCATCTTTCCCAGGGTGTCTTTCCCGGAACTGATGACCCATTCAGCCCACAGATCTTGTGACCTTCAAATGCATTTGTTTTTGCAAAGATCCTCCTTCAAATGGTCCCCAAATGAACTGTGAACAGTCCCCACTCCTGGCTGCTCCTTGCAGTGCCAAACAAGAAACATCCTGTAGTTGGGACATCTTCCTAACAAAGTTAGGATTTCTCGTTTGCCAGGTTCCCTTTTGACTTATGAATCATTTGGGCAAAATAATTATTACAGTTTGACCAGAAAAAGTATATAGACCTACTAAAGAGGGGCAGTAAAAACAATGGGTGGGACTGATATCAGTGGAACACAAATGAGCAGAGGTGAAGAGCATTTGGTTAGCAAGTTCCCAAAGTGTTCCTGGCAGGAAAGGCACTGCTCACTGTTTGCACAGATTGGTCACCAAGTTCTCACTCCCTTAATTCTTCTTCCTTTGGAAAGTGCTCTTGTTTGCAAGCCACATCCACTAGCAGGTGTAGATCTAGGAAGAATGGAAAGGGCATTTCAGTATTTGCCTTTTCCAGGAGGATTATGGACTTACATCTTACATTGCAGCCACCTGTAAAAACAGCAACAACCACTTACCCCTTGTAAACAACCTTCAGGAGGGGACAAAGGGATGGGAGGGAAGGGAGCACTGAATTTCTCCCCAAACTGTCACTTGCCCGTTAAGGTGTTTTTTCTCCTGTAGGATTTCAGGCTTATGTTAGCGAGGAGTAATTTATTTATTTTATTTCATTAGATATTAGATTAAGTTCTTTACACCCTGCTTTCCCCAGTGGGGACCAAAAGTGGTTTGCAACATTGTTCTCCCTTCCTCCATTTATCCCAAGGCCACCCAGAAAGCTTCTTTGGCAGAAAGGCAATTTGAACCTTGGTCTCCTAGTTCCATGTCCAACACTCTAACCACTACACCATGATGGTTCCCAGCAAGAAAAAAATTAGACCCCTCCAGGTAATAGGAGGGGATTTTGTCACACACGGCTGCAGTGTATTGGGTAGCTTGCTCCAGTTCTTCATAGTAACCAGACCAATATCCTAAAGTTTATTCTCATAACTGGGGATTCACAGAGCCAAGTACAGGCCCCTTAAGAATGATTACCAGTGAGTCATAAGATCCTCCACTCTCTCTTCTCTGATCTCCACATTCTCCCCCAAACTCCTTAATCTTGGTTATGTGCTATGCAGTAACCAGGGGGTAACTGTGGCTTGCTTTCTATCCTGCATTTATAATCAGTGTCAAACCCCAGTTAGCCATGAACTCTGGTTAGCGTTAACAACCTACCTGAATCTATCATTAACACCAGTTGGCTTATTTGGAGTTGAGCAAATAAATCCAAATAAGCCAAATAACTGGAACTCCACATCAAAATCCAATGTCTTTAATGTCACCTATACCTGTTTTTTGTTTTTTTGTCAGCAGTTCAAATAGATTCAGGAGAAAGATGTAGATTTGGGACAGTGGTGTTGAGAAAACGTTTACAACTGTATCCCACAGCACAATGATCCAGATCCGAATCTGGGACCTCCACAACTGCTTGTAATTAAAATTAAAGATGTCAAAAGATCTGCTTGTGGCTTTCCTACGTCCCTGTCTAGTTGCACCTCAGGGCAATCATGCATACTACTGGAGCACCCACGAGAAATAAATTAGCATTAGCAGACTCAGAAAACCTGTCATTCTTACCAGGAGATTTGCCCTTCTGTGAGTTGCTCCTTCTTTCTCTGCCTTTGCTTTGGACGGAGGAAACTGAATCTTTGACAGATTTGCTGAGGGGACCCACTTCAGAAATGAGGAATCCTATCTGCTCTGAAGACACCACTGTTCCTGATGGGCTTGTCTGACACTTGATGTTGGGATTGTCCTTAAAAAACAAACCATGACAGAAATTGATTTTAGGGCAGGGTGGAATGTTTATTTCATAAGATGTTTATGCAATGGCCTGTTCCAATATCCCTTTGAAGACCTTACTCTTCAGTAAAGAATGTCTCTCAACTAAGTCCAAGTGGTGGTCTAAATATTTGAATGGAATCTCATGATTCAAGCTATGAAATAGTTAAAACAATGTATGTGCTACTTCAAACTCCTGGAAAGCAACCACTGGACAGTGCTGTAAAATATGCTAATATATCAATGGTGAATCTGATACCAATTTAAGCACAGGCTTAAACAAAAGAATCTTTGGATGTGGCTTTCCTTGCAGAATGGTCTACAGCTATGTATCATCTTACTCCATACCTGCTGCTGATTGAAGGGAAGTTCCTCCTGTACAAACACCATGGATGACTGCGCCGAAGTTTGGTTCAGTTGTTCCTTCAGTTTCACTTGTGTCTGCTGGGTGGCTGCACATTGTGGCATCATCTGTGCAGAAGCATTCTCCACAGGTTCAGTGGTGTGGATCGTGTAAATAAACTCTGGAGACTGTGGTAGAGAGCAGGCTATCGCTTGATCAGATTCCACCACAAAGGACGTAATATCAGAGCTGACAGGAGTCAGAGGTTCAAGGTGGCTGGCTTGACTGGAAGGTGCCTCACTGTTCCCTGGATTGATGAGCAACTGCTGGCCTCGGTTGGGCTGTGAGGCTGGACCATGGTTCTCCACTGGCTCCACCTTTACCATTTCCAGTTTGGGAGAGGAATGCATCTCATCCACAATCTGGAAGACGGCCTCCAAGTTGACTTCTGTCTTCTTGGTTTCATCAGAAGGGTTGCAGGGCCAATTTGAAGGCAAAAATTCAACTGGGTATGAAGACTGCATTGGTGGATTCTGGAGAGGCAAAAGACAATGGCGTGGAATAACAGTAATAATACTTGTTTTGCTCAGTTCTTCAAAAGCCTGCATTTTCCCAACAACCAGTTTCTCTGAGTTGTCCGTGTCCATTTTGGAACACCTTAAATCGTCACAACATTAGAAGCAGCTGACTCATTCATTATTCTTTACTCTAAAGCACTCTTTCCACTGTGTTCTACTATATTTTTTATTAAATAAAACAAGAAGGGGAACCAGAAGGACTTGTGGGGGAAGGGAACTCCTAATTATCCCCCACTGCGCCCCGCTTCTTCTTCTCTTACTCTGGCTGTGATTGCACACCCCACATGCCCAGCCACCAAATCATTATTACCATAATTCCTCAACTAATCACCAAGTTTCCCATCCTTTTCTCAATTTCTGTCTTTTCTGCCCACTTCTGCCCGATCTCCAGTTTTCTTCCTCCTTCCCCTTGACCAATTCCTACTATTAAAAATGTTTCTATGTTTTTCTCTCACACACATCTGTGAATGCAAAGATGCTGCAGGCTGCTTTTTGTGGGTTTCAAACCTCCAATGAGTTTTCAAAATAAGCTTTTATATTTTCCTGCAAACCTGGGGATTAACCCAGGATTGCAGAAATGTATACTCGGTTATGGTAGTTTCCCCTTCCTACTGTAGCAGACTCTAGTTCTGGGTGGCTCCCTTGTGGATTTTCTTGTGATCCACATGGAGGGGCCACCCATTGCTATCAGATATGATTCATCAGTAGGATGGAGGAGAAAAGGGGTGGAGGATCAAAGGGAGCCTGTGGGGTTCTTTGACATTCCTCAAGATCAGCACTGTTTTGTTTATTAAAGCCATGAACAAATTTGTTTTCTTACAAGCCAGCATTCTACATTATGTATATGGCCTTGCTCTTTCAAGGTTTTGCTGAACAATGCATAATTTGTTATGTAGAAAGGAATATCTTTTACTTTCTTTTCAACGGTGTTTTTTCTTTAAACAGAAAGAAGCGCACTGTGTATTACCAACCCCTTAAATTCTGTAACGCTGTCCTTCCCCCAGTGATATGAGCATAAATAAATAAAGAGGAGGTTGTTCATTTGTTTCACTCTTTGCATTTTAATATTAGCTGTGCTATTTCAATCATTAATGCTGTAGCAGAGATTCCATTTGGACAGGACTGTTCCTCTCCCATTGGCTTTCCTGTGCGTGACAGACTGTGCGTGCCTAAAATGGCTGCCATTGCTTGTAATGCTCCATCTTCCTGTACAGGATATTTGCTCTAATAAATGACACAGGTGAAGCTGCTGTTATGAACGGAAGATCTTTAGCAGCTTTCCTGGCCTCAGTCTCCAATGAATTGTTGGCTGTGCCTGACATTTGGTGAGGCGGCACATGATGAGCCTTGTGTGGCACTGGGGCCTCTTGCACACAAGCCGCTGAGGAGACCCTTGGAGAACCTTCTGCCATGCTCTCTCTTCTTGGAAAATGGTCTGCTTTTGCCCAGTACTGACAGCTACAACAGTCAGGGGAAATGGCATTTTGTCACAGCTAGCCACCACCATTTGTAAACATGTCCAAAGTATAATGTGGTTGTGAGATTGCTGCAGACATCCCCCCCCCAGGATGTCCTTAAGAAATGGCAAGCAGTGCTCTCTCTCACACACACACACCAATGTAATTTTGTTAATTTTATACTTCTTTAGTGGCCACGCTTCAGTGTGGATGCCTTGCATTTGGTTGAGGCCTTAACTATAGCCACTGAGGTGGTGCTTCACCTTTGAGTTGTGGGCTTTGTTTGCACCAGGGAGCAACAAATGCAATGATACTGAAGCAACACCTCACCTTTTCTCCTAATGAGGGAGGAATGGAGAGAATCAGAAGAGATGGGAAGTGGCTGAGGAGAAAGTGAGGGTGGGTTGAGAAAGGAGATAAGAAAGAAATTAGGCAAGAGAAATGTCTTTTTCTTTAAGGAACAACCCTTGATGGTAAAGGTTGAGACCAAAGAGCTAAACCTAGTGCTCTGCAGAGCTCGTGCGAAGAAAACTGGGAGATTAGTCCTCCAGTAAGAGATTGATTAAAGTTCAGTTAAGAATTTTAAGCCCTGCCTGCTATGAGCATATGAGAGGAGTAACCTGCATAAGTGATATCCTCCTCCACTGGTGGAGAATAACTATTTACATTAACTGAATTATGGATCTATATGAAATAAGAAGTTAAAAACAACCATTCTCTACAGTTGCGAATTAGACATTTTAAAATCCCTTTGCCAAAGAAGTATTTCCAGGATCTATTCATACTGTTCTGTAACTGTCAGGCAGGAAAATACAAATGATGACCCTTCTATTCATTGATTTCCCCCCCATCTCTCCATAGCTAGTTTCTAATGTATTGATGCAAATGATATGAAGGTGAAACTTCCGCCTCACGATCCAAAGAACTGTGCAGCTTGTTCCATGCACCGGAGGAAGGTTTAGCCTTATGTTCCTAAATTTGCACTTCTACCTTCCATGTCATATGGCGAACTACTTTTGAATTTGGGAGGAATTTCAAAAATAGTTTGAGATGACAGCGCCTTGTGCTTTTGAAAGGGAAGGACCTTGGCTCAGTGGCGCATGGCGCAGGGCAGCATGGGCGCGCCACGCACAGCAAGTTGGGGCTTTTGATGGTGGCGGGGGGCGGCAGCAGGGCAGTTCGGAGGCACCCTCCTCCAGGGGCCCGCTCTAGGTGAAAGTCTAGTTCACCTAGCGGGTGAGCCGGCCCTGTCAGTAGTATAGCATCTGCTTGGCATGCAGAAGGTCTCAGGTTCAATCCGCAGCATCAGGTAGTAAGTGATGTGAAAGACCTCTGCCTGAGACCCTGGAAAGCCACTGCCAGTCTGAGTAGACAATACTGACCCTGATGGACCAATGGTTGGATTCAGTATAAGACAGCTTCATGTACATGTCATGTAAGAGGAGGCAAATCCCCCATTCAGCATACTGAAAACAGTTGATGGATCCCAGCCTTGTGTTCCACTTACTAGACTCACCTGGAAATAGCTGCAATGTGTATAGGTTGAGGCTGTAGGGCTGGCACAACCACTTAAGGGATCCATATGGGTAGGTGGAGAGCAGCACTGTAATACAGCTGGAAAGAACGAAAAAGATTAAAAAGTAAAAGGCCTTCCCAGGTATACCAAATTTCTGTATTTTTTCTTTAGCCCTGTATTTATACTAGTACTTGTGTAGCACGGAATACCAACAACCCTGCTTGTGATACCGCCTTTAAAAAAATCACAGAGATGCATGCCACAACATGGGAGTAAGAGAGCTTGCAAAGTAAAAAGCGAAAATACTTTTTAAAATGTTACCAGTGAAAAGGATAGGCTTGCTGATGTTTGCTACAATGTTCATTGGTCAAGGGCTTGATGAACATAACCGTGCTTCAGTTGGTCACTAAAAAATTACAAAATTCACAAAATTCTATTGGTGTGTGTATGTGTGAGCACTGCTTTTGAAGTTTTGGGCATCCTGACAAAAAGTGTCTGTGACAATCTTGCAACTACATTACAGATGTTTACAATGGTGGTGGCTAGATGGAGAGAGGGAGGAAGGAAGGAAGGAAGGAAGCAAGGAAGGAAGGAAGGAAGGAAGGGAGAGACATATCAGCTTCTGAAACAAATTAGTGATTACTCCACAGTTTGCCATAAACTGGTTATTGGGAAAATGAAATGATGGCTTATTTCCTAGAAACACTGGAAAACAGTTCACTACTGGAAATCCACACTATGATATGCTCCAAAGAAAACAGAAGGAAGTCATGTGCCCCATGATAGAGGTACCTACAGAGCAAGGGAAAGGTTTTAATCAAATCAAATATTGATAGTCTTAATTAGCACACAAGCAATTTGCTTGCGGAACTAGCAAAAAAGACCCTCAAGGAAATTCCTTCAAAGCTCCAAATGTGTTGATCAGCTAGACTCTGAGAAGCTTCGGCCAATGCAAAACTGGACCTCGAAGATCACACACTCTCAGCCTAACCTAACTCAAAGGATTGTTGTAGAGATAAAACAGAGGAGAGGAGAACAATGTCTGCAGCTGTGGATACCATTGGGGAGATACCCTTGCCCAAATGTATTGGATATCTTTCAACTTGAACTTTTGAACTCCCTCCCCAGATCTCTCTCTCTCTCTCTGTCTTCCATCAATGGATTAAGACTTTTTTGTTTTGTTTAATGTACCCCAATTAAGTGTTACTGGTCAGACTGACAATTTTGGATTGGGAAATTACTTTCGGGGGCAGAGTCTGGGAGGGTGGGGTTTCGTGAGAGGAGGAACATAAACAGGGTAGAATGCCATAGAGCTCACCCTCCAAAGCAGCCATTATCTCCAGGAAAACTGATTTCTGCAGACTGAAAGTCAGTTGTAATTCAAGGAGATCTCCAGGCCCCACCTGGAAGTAGGCAACCATATCTACTGCTCCCCACTTGTTATGTTTAGATGTTTTCAGTTATTTGTCTCATTCTTCTTCTTCTTCATGGTCTCTGTACAGCACACCCCACCTGAAGACTGGCAACCCTGTCCAAGTCACAGCAGATACAAGAAATTTTGTCTACAAAGTGCTTGGGCACACAATTGCAATTGGGCTGCAGAGTAGTCTGCCTCCTGCTATAGACCAGTTTCTACACATGGACTGAGTCTGAGAGCTAGCAACTTGCTCCAGCCATCTCAGTCACTGGGTGACCCGGCATTTGAATCCAGACTAGCAAGGGTTGAACACAGACCAGCCTAGTGTGCACATAGGGTTGCCAGCTCTGGGTTGGGAAATACCTGGGGAAGGTCCTTGGCAGGTTATAATGCCATAGAGTCCACCCTCCAAAGAAGCCATTTTCTCCAGGGGGACGGATCTTGGTCGTCTGGAGATCAACTGTAATAGCGGGAGATCTCCAGTCACCACCTGGAGACTGGCAACCCAATGTGCATGAAATGTATCTTACTGATGGACAAATGGAAAGCGAAAGAGCGAAGTGTGTCCCTCAGTGGAAAACAGACTCTGCTAAGAGCTCTAAATTATTTTACCCTATTGTAAGTGATATTTATCTTTACCAAATTCTCATTTTGCATCTCTGCACGGTCAAATGTCAAGTATCCTACTGTTCATGTGCAACATATTCATATAGCCTCTATTAGCAGTCTGCTTGCTCTGTCGTGATAGGCTCTACAAATGTATCCTGGCATACTTCTCAGTTGTAGCTAGCTTTCCCCCGTTGGGGAAGATGTAAGAGCACAGGGTCACCTTGCACTAGACAAACTGTGGAAGGCTGAAAATAGGCTTGCAGCCAAGAATTTCAGCTTAACTGGGTTCTGGAGACAGCCAAACAGATGCTGCTGGTACACTGTCACCCACTTCTTTCCTATCTGCGGTAATTTCTTGCTGGAATGTATGCTATTAGCAAAGTCTATTGGGGACAGCTTTTTATAGACAAAAACTTGCCCAGAGAAGGGTTTTCCCCCCATTCTCTTTCCCATGAAAAAGTTACTTTACTTCAGTAAACATACAGTAGTCTCACAACACTAAAGACGCAACAACACCTAGTTTATTTTTAAACTGTTTCATAAAAACAGTTAAGGCTATGATGATTTAAAACATCAAAACCCTTTGAAATAATATATGAAACAGTAAAATTAAAAACAAAAAAACAAAAACAGAGTTGGAGGCCGAAAAAACCCGAAGTCTATGCAGCTTTTCTCATTCAGAAAAACAGTCTGATTGCATGTTTTCTACTCTTCATCACTAGAATATATAATTTGTTTGCTTCACAGGTTCTGGGAATAACCATGTCTGCACTGAAGGATTCCCAGACCAACACTGAACATTTTTGGCCAGGTGCCTGCTTGGGATGGTGGTAAAATAGGACAGTGCTCAATGGTGGGTTAATGCTTCATCTATACAGGTTTATTTGCTAAGGCAAAAGGCCTTAGGGCTGCAAGCTGAGTGAGTACATGTGAAAGATCCATGTTATTGCCAATCTCTAGGTGGGGCCTGGAGACCTCCTGGAATTACAACTGATCTCCAGATGACAGATATCATTTCCCCTGGAGGAAATGGCTGCTTTGGAGGATGGCCTCTATGGCATTATTCCCCAAACCCTGTCTTCCTCAGACTCCACCCCCAAAATCAACAGGTTATTTCCCAGTTGGCAACCCTGCATGTACCTGATAAAAGGGACAGTGTTTGAAGTATATGCATGTTATTATTTTTTTTTTATCATGAGTGCCAGGGAACCATTCAAGAGTATGCAGGAACCCACCACTGCTACCTACGCCACGTATCTACAACTTACGCAAGCTTTCTAAAAGACAACTGCTATGCTTATAGTGGATACATAGCGCAGGCCTGTGAGTGATGTGGAACCTTGCAAAGTAGCCCTTAGGCATGAACCCTTAAGTTTAAACACAATACTTTTCTTATATAATTTAACATCATTAAAGGAATGTACCGGTTTATCAGGTATCATATTCAAGACCATCTAACTGCAAATGTGCTGTGAGACTGCAAGTATGCAGCAGCTACCACTGTCACTCTGTGATGAAAAGAAGAGAGAAAACTCTACAGAGGGAGCACAGACCTGTAATAGGACATCTGCTGTGCATGCAGGGAACCCTAAGTCCAATCCCTGGCATCTCTCTGCTTAAAATAAAGGACCTAAAGAAGCCTGAGAAAGACTTTTCTCCTCAGGTATCTGATTCTGAGGCCTTGGACAGCCATCGCCAATGATAGCAGACAACTGGATGGACCAAGAGCCTGAATTAGTGTAAGACAACTTTGTAACTTCCCTTTGACAAATACAAAACTAAAGCAGTAAGATCTATTACAAATGGAATGGAACTTCTACCAAAAAAAAATCCATTATGAACCAGACAACTGAACCCAATCTAACAGAAAGAAAACATGCTTAAGGTAACTGAAAGTTGTGAGTATAAGTGTCAGACAGTAGCCATAAAGTCTTCTGCAAAAAATGACCATTCCTTTTGTCCTTTTCAAACTGGGTATTTGTTTTAGGCTTCAGGCCAGGGTGTTAAAAAGAAGAACAGCCTCTTCTGCTGTTTTAAAGCAATTTTCTTATTTCCATTTACTATATATTGAAATAAAAACACACTGCTGAAAAATACTGTTACCTGTCGGGTAGTAGGCTTGGGAGTAGGGTGCCGAAGCTGCATAGCTGCCATACTTCTGAGAAGAGGTGGCCATCGTCTGGGGCCCTTGCTGTATGTGCACAGATGTAGTGCTGGGCTGCAGAGTGTAAGTGACCTCTGTCGGAAACCTCTGGAGCACAGGGAAGGGAACCCCTTTGTCTGAAAAAGTAGATGCCTCCACCTGCCCTGGGAGCATCCCAAGGGAGTTTGGCCATGTTCTGGGAGGAAGAGGAGTCCGATCTGATCCTTTCAATGGGAAAGCATTTTGGTTGTGCGACGGTGACAGGTAGGAGTACGGAGATAAGGTGTCCCGCCGAAAAGACCGGTGAAACTGCCCTAGAGTCAGTGATGCTGCACAAAGAAACAGAGGGAAGGGAGGAAAGAGATTCAGTAGGCTATGAAATGCAAGGCCAGGGGCATACAATCAGCACAGTCCCACCACTGATTCTAAGCACTGTGGCCTGAAACACAGTGACTACATTTTATAGCAAGCAATCCTAAAAATATAACTCTAGATGTGGGCTGTGAAGGGAAAATTACCCCCTTTGAGTCAGCAAGCACATTCTCCCAAGCTTATGGCCCTGGTCAGGATGTCCTTAATTGCCAGCCCGCTCGTGGTTTTGGCATCAGATCACCCCCAAGATATAACCACAGAGCTAAGAAAAGTCTCTAGTGGCACACAGCCTGGAACTCCAGTTCAGAATCCAAAGATGCCATTTGACTGCAAGATCTGTAGATATACAAAGGAGATTCACTCTACCCTATACTTATGGGGCAAGCCCTCAGGAATCACCATTCAATGGGCCATGTTCAAATTGATACCAGAAGTACCCTGTCAGCCAGGGTTTAGGGAACTATTGGATCAGTGTGCTGTGGATGGAGCATACCACACAAGAGGGATGGCATCCCAAGAGCAAAGGGTCTATTCACACAGATAATTTCTGTGCAGGGAAACTGCTCAGCTTATGCCAAGCAGGACAAGCTATTTTGCCACATTTGCTGGATTCCTGTCAAGGCTCCACAGAGCAAAACAGACATGTCTGCATTTATCATACAATACGCATGACGGTTTCCCACATGGATGTGACCTTTTGTGTATGAAAATCATCTTATACAGAGTCCCAAGTAAAGGTTGTTGCTAGAGAAGACAGCTGGCCAAGGCAAACACACGACTCTCCTACAGTGGGGACAGCCTTTATCTCCCTGGTTTCAGGGCCAGCTCCAACAGGCATCATGGACATTTCTACCTTGGCTCCCTAACCACACACAAACAAAAACTGGAGGGAATATGCTTGGGGAATGGTTTACCAAGTGACCGTGCAGGAATGTGTTGTGGACCTGTCCTAGTGTTCCTACCCATTTTCCTTTTTGTGTGACTCTCCTGGTGTTAACTGGCATGTGTCTTCCTTACATACAGGCACTTCTTTCTCTCAGGATTGTGGACTGTGTTTTGGAAGCTGGGCAGGGCTATTTTTGGGCAGGAACCGGAGTTCCGGCTGGCTTCCAAGTTGGCCACGCCCAGCAGGAACTCATTAGCATAATAGGCCACACCCAACATCAGAAACTCATTAGGATTGGCTACATTAGGGGTGTGTGGCCTACCATGCAAAGGAGTTCCTGCTACAAAAAAGCCCTGGGTTTTGACAACAAACAAGGTAAATATTTATTTATTTATTTATTTATTTTTGGGACTTATATCCCGCCCTACACATTGTGTCTCAGGGCGGCTAACAATAGGGTATATATATATATATAAAAATTTGGCTTCCGGTCTGGCTCCCGCGAATGGCGGACGCATCCTTGGGTCGCTCCCGAGGGGCGTCTCGCCCGCCCGCGGTGGAGGAGGGAATCCGCACGAGCGGAGACCCGAACGAGCACCTCAGGATGTGAGGAGCTCGGATCCGGGGCGCTTTAGGGCGCTCGAGGGGGGGGTCTCTCTCTCAGCCGAGAGGTTGGAGACGAGGCTCCCGCCATGCCCTGCCCCTTTGGACCTTGCTGCGTGAGCGATCCCGTTTTTACGGGGTTTAGCGGGGCCACCGGACGTCACCGAGTGATAAAGCGACCATCCGAAAAAGTTGAAAAAGAAAAGATCGGCTTAACTGTGAGTTGTCAAAATGCAAAGAAAAAGATCTAAAACCGCTCCCCCCCCACCCAGCGAAAAAGGCGAGGAGGTTAACCCTCTAACTGCATAAGCGAAAAAGAAAAGGAGGGGGGGAATGGACTGAGCGAACAGCGGTGTTTTCCCTTGATGTATTTGAATTAAAGCGAGAAAAAGTTTTGTCTCTCTGGAGCACACTTTAAGAACTTTCTAAAAGTAAACAAAAAAGAAAAGATGTCGGAGCTGGGCAAAAACGAGCGGAGGAAGGGAGGGACTTCCGTCTGGGCGTTTGCTTGTGTGTGAGAGCCGGCTGTTTAGTGTTTTGGACTGTTTATGGCTGTGAATCCGACGGGAGTTTTGTAAAACGGAAAAGTTTGAACTGTGACAGCGAGGAGTGCCTGGCAAGCGCTTATATACGTCAACAGTTTTGAGAAGGACCCAATAGAGAGTTTGGGAGCGGAAATAAAAGCGAAATTAAATTAATACCATTCTCAAAGCTGGGGACCTCCAAGGCATGAAAGGAAGAGGATTTATAATGCATGAACTGAGTGTGTTAACAGCAACCCGAAGGAGAATTTAACAAGCCGGAAGTAGAAGGCAACAGAGGAAACCCCTCCTTGTCAGCGAGTAAAAGTGCCCAACACGCAAAGAAGCGCAAAGAAGCGGTTTTGACTGTATCCAGAAGAGATATTCTTTTTTTTTATTAACAGAACTCAAGGGAACATTACTAATATACTAACAGAGAATCACATGAGACCGGACTAAGAAAAGAAGTTTGACAACACACAGAAGAAGCCCAAGAAGATTAATTGGACATTACTAACAGTTTAATTTACCAGTTTATATATCACTCAGCTTTCTCTTTCTCCCACTGTCTACCTTTCCCTTTTTTCTTTTAAGCGAAATACCTCCCCTTTTTAGGGGAGCTAATAAAATCTTTATATATATAAAAAAAACAATAGGGTATAAAAATTTAAAACAGTAAGACAATGTTACGTACATGATAAAAATGGTGCTACAATAGTTTACATAAAAATAACCAAGATGCGCAACAATTCACATTGGCGGCAGAATAAGAAGCAAAAGGTGGGTGGTAACATGGGGGTGTGGCCTAATATGCCAATGAGCTGTGATGTCAGGGGTGTGGCCTAATATGCCAATGAGTTTCTGCTGTTGGATGTGGCCTATTATGCTAATGAGTTCCTGCTGGGCTTTTTCTACAAAAAAGCCCTGAAGCTGGGTAACTACAAAACAGCACTGACTTTTGCATTTTCCCTTGTGAACAGTCCACAAATGGGTGAGTGCAGAAGCGAAAACTTTAAAATCTCACATGCTGCATTTATTCTAGTTGGATTGTAAGCCTGTCAGCAAGGCCTGTCCCTTTTAATTATTTTTGTGCAGTGCTGTTGTAGATGCTTTCCAGTAAATAAGTATTAACGATTATTATTGGGACAGTGAGGAGTTGACCAGAAGGAACATGAGCCAATGGGTGAGATGAGAAATCTGTTTATCCCAAGTTGTTTTCTATGAGATATTGCAGTTGAATGCTTCTTTAAAGATGCATTACACTTTTGCTTAGAAAAACCCAGCACCTATCAGATAAAACTGGTGTCTGGGTGAAGGTATAAAATGCAAACAGGGGCCACTGGTCTGCAGTATGTCATGAAGAATAGCATTGGCACAGGTATACCGAAAATGACAGAGAAGACAGTGTATTCAGGGGCACTGCAAATTTCAACTGGTTTAACTGTCTATTCCTCTCCAAAAGAACCTTGTGAATTACTATTCTGAGTGAGGAGTTCCAATTCTTCACAAAACTACAATTCCCAGTGTTCTTTGAGAAACTGAAGGCAGTTTAAACAGTTTGAAAAGGCACGGGATAGAAATGTGTTCTGCAAAATGATTGGACAGCATCAAGAGGTGGCGACACTAGGCTGATAGCTGACTTGCTAGCAAGTCAGAAATGGAGGGGTGGGAACCTGTTAATAGAGGTGAGTCCTGCCTCATTTCCACATCAGAGACATGATGTAAGAGTGGGAGGAGACTCTTAGCCAAGATGCTGCTGTGCTTAAGCACAGGGAACAGGAGGTGAAATGGAGCACTCTACTACTTTGAGAAGCTGCCCCTGGGATATACAATGTCCTTATAAACAGCCTTTAGCTTTGCTTGTTGTATGGCATGTGCTTAAAATCCCTGAGGAAGATGGTTATTCTGGTTTACTTTGGAGGGAAAATGTATGTTCACATATATGATAACTGAAAGCATGCCTTACTTCTGAATATATTTATTTGTAAAAAGATTCTACTGATTTCAGTACAATGTTTTCAGACCACAGAAACTGGGGATGGAGACTGCAGGTGACAGTTATGTGAATATGGGGTGTCAGGTGCTTTCTCCAAAGTTGCTTAAAAAGATGTAATGTATGGCAACAGTACAACTTAATTTCAGTGCCTGAACTCAGCAATGGAACAAGGGGAGGAGAGGAGCCAGTGCAGAGCGAGATGCCAGGAAACCTACACATCTTAAAGGAGGAACACAAAAGACCTATCTAAAAAGGGACAATGCAAACTTGCATTGTTGTATGGTCCCTCTGAACTGTGCTGTAATCACTCCGAGTTTGTTCTACTGATAAAAGATGTTCATTCTAACCTGCAATGTATTAACTAGTGGGAAAATGCATTCATAAAAGAAAGGAACTGGCAATGAAATGTATCCTGTACATGTTAAGGAGGCATGTGTATGCAACTATGGCCCCAGTGTTCAGCTCTGATTTCATTGGTCCAATGATATGCAGTAGGTCCCTGGTTCAATCACTGTTTGTCAGAACAAACAAGGATGAGCTAGATGAGTTTAGGAAGACAGGAAAACTGCTTAGTGACAGAGCACCTGCTTGTATATAGACAATCCCTGGCATCTTCCATTTAAAATGATTTCAAAAAGGATGGGAAAGCACTCTGTGTACCTAAGATTTCTGAAAGCCAGTGTCATTCAGAAGATGATACTGAGCTCAATAAACTAGCAGTCTGAGTCAGAAGGCAGCTTCCTTTATATATTCCCAACTCAGAGGGCCACTGCCACTTGTAGTATGCAGCACCGGGCTGGATAAACCAATAACCTGAACAGTTTCCTATGTTTGCTGATTCAACTGCCATTGGACAATTGAATCATTAACTCTGTTTTGCTCTTTACTACTGGTAATTAATCTCTTCTTAGGGATAGTATTGGGAACTAATGCAGTATAGTGGTTAAGACTGTAGAGTGGACTTGGAGCAGGGAGACTGGAGTTTAAAGGCACAGAGAAGCTGAGGCAACCTCTCTTGCTCAGCCCAACCTACCTCTCAGGCACGCTGTGAAGATTAAATGTAAGGGAAAGGAGACACATGTATGCTACCTTGAACTTTTTGGAGGTATCTGAAGAAGTGAGCAGTGACTCATGAGATCTCATACCTTGCCACATATTTTTGTTAGTCTTTAACTACCCATCTTGACCTATCTTTTTGGAGGAAGGTGACAGATGGGACACATATGATAAGATTTTTGACCCTTCTGGGTAACCTCTGCCCTCAGTTGCAGGAGGCACAAGTGGGTGGACAAGCAGCTTCAGTAGCTTTGGTTCCTGAGCAGCATGTCACTCAGCATGTCAAAAGATCTCATTTGGGGGGAATACTGCTGGAGAACTCCCTGCAAGTCGAAAAGCAGCAGAGCAAGCAAAAAGGGGGCCGGGATCGGAGCCCTTCTGCCTTGCACGGAGCCTTCTTTGTGTGTGCGTGTTATGTTAAGGTTGCCTTCGGCTGCCTGCAGGCCGTCCTACCAGGCTCTCTGCCCATGCTCAAAGGCGCCAACCCAGCCGGCTCTTGACGCCTCTCACCGGGCTTGCTGTCGCTGCTTTTGGCCACGACCGTGGCGGCGGAAGCCGCGGGCTGCCCCTGTGGGGTCGCCTGGGGTTGGTGCTGGTGGGCCAGGAGGGCCTCGGTATTGGTGCCGCCGCCGTGAAGGGAGGTGCTGAGGAGGCGCTGGAAGCGGTTGGGCGGCCGGCTGGTGACTTCCAAGCCAGCCGCCAGCTTGGCCTTGTTGGCGCTGGTCAGGCGCTTGAGGTGGACCAGGAGATCGGGCCGGTCGCGGCGGAAGTGGGGGCTGTGGAAGTGGTGCAGCGGCCCGCCGGGAGAGGACGGCGGCGGCGGCGGCGAGAGCGACGAGGAGCCGCCGCCCCCTGCGCCGCCGCCGCCGCC